AAAGAAAGGACCACTGATTGACTGTAAGCAAGTACTGCTAAGCTGGAGACACCTTTGGTCAATATGGTACATTACGAGTGAGTTTAGTATCTTCAGACTGCACGAGCTGACTCAGCTGGATATTTGGCCACCCTCACAAGTCCTGGAATATAAATGGAACTACTGCCAGCTCAAGACCTGATGTCCTATGAGAAATCAGTGGGCATTGTGGAGATTAGAGAAGCTACCCTTGAAAACGATAGGAAATGCTGCCAGCTAGTTGGAAGGTCTAATATATTAGCTTAAGGGGTTCAGAAATAGAAGAACTTAGTGATTTGTTTTCTGGACATATTTCTTCTATTATGATAATAAAAATGTATTCGCCAATCTTCCATTCATATTGAGGCAATTTGACATTATTTGGGAGGGAGACAAATAAAATGCAGCATGTGCCAGTTATAGTTTCATAGATTTTAAAAAAACCCACTTCAAAGCAGTATACTAAGTGACAAATGAAAGCTATAGATTTTTAAAATGCTATCATTGGAGAAGGAGTTCACTTTGAATTTCAGTTATTGTGGAAAGCTTCAGAGAAAAAAGTGTGACTTGACAAAGATATGATTTGGCCAGGTATTTTGAAAGGTATCTGGAAATACAGTTGCTAATGCTGACATGTAAAAATATAGCATCAAAGTATTTAAAATACAACTAAATAGCTGAGAAACTAGAATAAACTGGGTCATTTTTACATAAATTCATTCTCACAAAATAATGAATTCATTAAATATATTTTAAGTATAAAAGTTATATTTTTATACTTAACATTTTATTGTGTACTTAATATATTTATATTTAAATATATTTTTATGTTAAATATTTAATATATATTAAATATATTTATATTTAAATGCATTTAAATATATAGTGTATATATATTTATATATACATATAAAATATATTATATATATTATATATATAATATATATAAAATATATTATATATATTATATATAATATAGTGTATATATATAAATATACTATATACAGTATATATAGTATATTTATGTATTTATATACATAAATATATAAATATATATAAATTATAAAATTTATAAATGGAGATATATATTTAAATATATCTCATTTAAATATGTATCTCAATTTTAAGATAATTAATAGCTATTTAATCACTTTCTACTTAATTTTAAACTATACATATAGCAGTGAATATTTTGAAGTTGTGCATAAGAGAATTTAGATTTATAATCTAAAACACATATTTGATGAAAGATAATGACATCTTATCAGCTAACCAAACCTTAACTTTTGTAGGTACAGTTCAAAAACAGTTGTGTAAAATTTGTTTTAAGTGTGATAAATGTCAACTACACTTCACTTATGGTTAATTTGAAAAATGTTTGATTGAATTCAAAGAAGGTTAACCTATAGTATTTTAACAGTTGAATATATGTATGTGATTATCAGTGTAAATATGCTTTTACTAAATAACAAAGATACACTATCACATGATATTATTAATCAACCACTTCTCAACTTTTTAAAACATGTATCAACTTAAAGGAATCCAATAAATATCAAAAAGCATTTCTATACAAAGAAGAAAGAACAATTTTTACTTGGTCAATCAAAATTCTGTTATTTAGCAATGTCATTTCTGTCTAATTGTGACTGCCTAATTAATGAATATAACATATAGGAAGTGCTTACAGCTTAAGTCCATGCAAGAAAATACACGTTTTAAAACATGCATCTCCATTTCAGAAGATGAACACTAGAAAACTAAATTTTCGATAGTACACTAGAAAGGTTTAAATATAGGCATTAAAAAAAATCAGGTAACATTAGCACAATCATTTAAGAAGAAAGAAATACATTATTATCCTGTCTTTCTATCAGGAGTGTACTGATTAAATTCTGACTTTATACTCCAGCTTAGCCATATAATACTTCCATGGCCATGTGGAACTCCAGATTTTGGCAACGATAAGGAAAATCTCTTTGGCAGGTTATATTTGTTAAATGTCATCTCTTAGATATTTGTGTTTACCTATTCTCTGCTTAACAACGCTGACAAAATTTTTTATACAGACATAGAAGATTTCAATAAAAAAAAGTCCTCACAGTGTTAGAAATCCAGCTTGCCCTCTGTGTAAGTCCTATTAGATATTCCTGCCATAGACTAACAGACATACCTCCTAGGAGTCTGTGCAGCCTGAGTATTAACTGAGGGAGTCACAGCATCCTATGAATGTCTTGGTTAAAATCGGCTAAAAGCTAGTTATACTTTTATACCATATTTAAAATTTAAAAAAATTAAATCCTCACCTGAGGACATGGCTTTATTGATTTTTTTTTTTTTTTTGAGAGAGAAAGGGAGGTAGGGATGGAGAGGGATGAGAGGGATGAAAAAGAGAGAGAGAGAGAGAGAGAGAGAGAGAGAGAGGTCGATGTGAGAGAGAAACACTGATTGATTGCCTTCCATATGCACCATAACTGGGGATCAAACCCGCAACCTAAGTATGTGCTCTGACCGGGAACAGAACCCGCAGACTTTTTGGTGTATGGGACACTGCTCCAACCAATTGAGATACCAGGCCAGGTCATATTTAAAAAAAATTTAGTACCATTTTCCTATTCAACTTTTCTCTTTAGAAAACAAGAAACCTTTAGAACACCAAAACGCCAATACAAAAGAACCTATGCACCCCAATGTTCATAGCAGCACAATTTACAATAGCCAAGTCTTGGAAGCAACCTAAATGCCCATTAGTAAATGATTGGATCAAAAAATTATGGTATATATACACAATGGAGTACTACGCAGCAGAAAGAAAAAAAGAAGTACTAAAATTTGCAACAGCATGGATGGAACTGGAGAGCATCATGCTAAGCGAAATAAGCCAGGGGGCGAAAGACAAATACCATATGATCTCACCTATAAGCGGAACCTAACCAACAATGCAAAGATGCAAGGAAAATATGACCAGCAACACTGAAAGGAAAAGAAATCAACAGAGACAAGAGAGAAGGCGGGGGGGGGGGGGGCAGGGAAAGGGAAGGGAAGGGGAAAGTCAAGGAACATATAGCAAGGACTCATGGACAAAAACCAAAGGGGAAGAGCTGAGGGAGGGAAGGTGGGAGGGGGCAAGGGAAAGAGGTGGGGGGGAGGCAGAGACAAATGTATTTAAAAAGTAAATAAATAAACAAAACAAAAAAGAAAACAAGAGACCTTATGGAAAACCCCCAAGAAACATATTTACACATAGTATGGTCATAATTAACATGGCTTAACTAAAATTGGCAAATTATATACATTAAGCTCATAGCATACGGGTCCTAATAAAACTCTGAGACTGCTTCCTGTCACAGTGACAGCTGAGGAATTTGACGTGTCTCACAAACTATAGGAATGGTGATAGGAAGCTGACTCTTTGCTCTAGAGTCATGGACAGACCCTGATTAGGCTGCAGCACAGGGCAGTCTCTGTCGGATGTTTGGTTATATATGAGCATGCATGAGTTACATGGTTAAGAATCTAAATCGTCCAGAGTAGCAAACAAAATTCCAAAGCTAAGTACCAATGTAATATGTTGGATGACTCCACCGGCTTGGACAAGAATACATACAACAGACACACAATACACATCTGGTTAAATGTAAAATCAACTATTGCTAAAGCATTTTCAAACTTTAGGAGGAATCTACTGGCAATGTGTTAATAGCAAGGAACACTAAAACAATAAAATCGCATCTCTTTCCAAATATTTAAGAGCATCAAGTGCCCCTTAGGCTGGGTTGTGGTTCTTGGAAGTTTTAGCCTATGAGAACCATATTGGGGACATCAAAGGCTCCTCCCTCTCTCCAAAGAGCAATTCACTTCAGATGCTGCCACACAGTCAAATGCTTTTATGGCCACCATGTTTTTTTTGTTTGTTTGCTTGTTTGTTTTTTCCACTCAATATTTTGGAACATGCTGGATTCTTGAAATTGGAAAGAAGACAAGAAAACACAGTAAGACCAAATATTGTTGGAGGAGCAACTACATAGAGAGCTGACGGTAAAGGACAAATACACATTCCAACTGAAATTCCACTTCCAGGGAGGGTGTGAATTACTAATAAGGACATGGAAGGTACACATTGACTCCAAAAGCTGGTCTGTTGACTCCTCTGTTACTTTCATATTAGACAGAATGCAATCACCCCCATTCCATTCTGGGAACAACTTCCCAGAGCACGTTTCATCAGAGTCTCTTATATTGAGGACAATACTATATTTGGGTTTAGTACTATGAGGACAGTCATCTAGTTTTCCTATGGCAGGATGATAAATTTCCCTGAAACCAAATAGGGATTCTCAATGCATTCTTCAGTTCGATACCATGAATGCAGAGGAATAAAAAAGTGGGTGTGACAAATAATATTTTCCAATGGTCAGGTGGGGGGAGGTTCCCTAACATTCATAAGCAATGAGTTTTTAGCAAAGAGATCTTTAGAAGAACAGAATTAACAATATTCTTTTGCTAGGCACCCGCTTTTCTTTCTTGCGTAGCTGGGTACATAAATATTCTGAGCATAGTGTAAAGTATTCAGAATAGAGATGCAAGAAAAGTTGGTTGAGAGAAACTTCAAATGTACGATGAATCTCACTTTCACTTCCCACTCCTACCACCCCGAACACTACCTCCCTCCCCACTCATTCACTCATCTTCCTCCTCCTACCAGCATGTGTGCTAGGCATGTCAAGGCTGACACCCATTGCGAGCAACACGAAACCTACGCCTGCAGGCTCCTCCTGAGCAGACTCAAGGCTCTGCTATTGTCCATAGAGAGTTCTCAGCTGTGCACACTAACATCTTTGCCATCACGTTGGATTGTTTGATAGCTATTTTAAAAAGTGTATTTTTTTTTCTTTTTAAAAACACCCGTTATTTCCTGACTGCCCCAGAGACACCAAGAATAGAATCCTTGACACATCAAATTCTGGAACCTCACCACTCACCAAGACTGTGGTTCCTGATCCAAGGAGTGTCGACTGAGAATCAGCACAGTCTCTTGAGAGTGTCCAGGCCTGGCTGCTAAGCTCCCTGCTCTGATTAGTTTGTCGAGTTCACAGTGTTCCAGAGTGCTGAAGCACAGAAATTAGGGAGGGGAGGTGGAAGGAAAATCACTGGAGCCTCTTACGATCTAACTTCCACTAACTAAGAGGAAATGTCTTATAAATAAACAACAGCAACAGAAACAAAAAAAAAAAAAAAAAAAAAAAACCCATCCCGTCCTGCCAGAGGAATGTACATTATTGTCTCCCGACGGAAAACTTGACACCACACCAGAATGCAGCTATGTCTCCTAAAACTACCTCCCTCAAAACAGAAAGAAAACAGAGAATCAAGAAGAAAAGGAGAACAAAAAAAGGATTTTTTTTTTATCCTCTTGAGTACTGTTGGGAAGTTCTTGTGCGTTCCCCGTAGACAAGCTAAACTAAGCAGTTTCAGCAGTGTCACTGTTCCAGGATTTCTTGCGGAGGCTGCTTATTAGCAAAATTTCATTTCTGCCCAGATCATTGCTGTGCCATCCGGACATTTTCAGAAGGGAAGTTCAGGGAAGGTAGGGGGGAGGGTTTGACTGTGGAGGAGAGGAAGAAGAGAGGACAAAGGAACACTCCTGGTGAACCGGAATGCCCTAGCCACAGCCATGAGAAAGCCAGCCCCACCCTCCACCCAACTACTGCTTGTTGAGGACTTGGTGATGCGGTGTGTTCAATCTACTTACTCTTTCTGCTCGGGAGGCTGAGGTTCCTACATTTCCAGCTCATGCTGGACTGTACCGTAAGCAACAAGTGAAATGAGTTCAGTGATCTCATTCTAGTCCTTCGACTCCTGTCCACATCGCTAAGCGACTGCACAGCTTGGCACAAGCCAGGATGAGTCAGCAGTCTCTGGTCATGAGAGGCCAGGCCTGGAATGGCAGGGGGGGTTTAGGTCAGGAGCAAAATGAAGCAGAGAGGCAGTCTAGATGGCAGGGCTCAGCTCTGCAATACACAGAGATACTGCCGGTTAAAATGAAAGCGCCTCATCAGCTCTGGGGTGAGGATTGTAGGTTTATATAAAAAAGGAGCAGCAAGGGAAAAATGTAAAACAGCTGCCTACCAAATACAGCAAGAACAAATTAGAGTACCACAGTCAGAAAAAGAGGGCACTGGTAGAGCTCTGAAGGAGAAAAGATGCTCATTAAAATTTTGGGAATACCTTTTCTTCCATGTGCTCTTGAACTTGATTTGAGGAATCAAGTGGTTGCCTATATACTATCCTGGTATTTTGGTATTGCTTTCCTAATTTGGTAAGTAGCAAAACAAACAAATAAAAGCAAAGCACTGCAGTTAAGCAGCAAAAAGAAGCCTCATAATGCATAAAATAATATTAAGAGCCTAGTATCTCAAAAAGGTACGTTTGGGTCAATATGTCCTCGTATAGCCTGCAAGAACGCTGGCCACAAATGGTTAGAGAAAAGCATTCCTCAACTTGGGTGGAGGTAGAGAAGAGCTGAAAGAAAAGAAAGGCACAAGTTCAAGATGAAACACTAGAAAAATATGCCATGTCCATATTTTGATTCAATTGGGTGAGCACAGACCTCCATCAGGAAGTGACACATCCCACCACTAGGAGTTTCCAACACCTCTCCTGAGTAGGAAGACAGTAATACAGCAAGAGGAGAGGGAAAACAAAATAGTCAGAGGGAAACACCAGGTTCAACATAGGAAATAAATAACAGACATTTTGTTCTGGAGGAGGCAAATTGACTTATAAGCCAACTGATAAAGTCTTAGTATTTGAAACAAATTTAGAGGAACAGTATTTCGATAAGAAAACAGAAGTGGAGACTTAGAATTAGGAGCAAATAGTAGTGATGGATGGCCCAAAATAAGAAAGCAAGCCATCTCAAGTCAAATGGTTTGCAGCAAGAACAGCACACGATGAGAAAAAGATCAATGTAGTCAGGAAACACTAGTAAAAGATTTCTTTAAAGTTCTTTGAAGAGGAGAAATAAGGATGCACCATAAATTCCTAATTCCCATCCCTTAGAAATGCAAAAATGTGTAAGACATGCAAGAAAATGTCGAGTAAATTTTATTTAGTCTCACTCCAGAGAGTATTAAATCATCTCAATACATCTTTAATAAATGCTTAACCTTGGGCTAATGAACATTCTAGTCTCAGTTTCCTCCTCTTTGAAATGGAACTTTATCACAGTCACTGAATTATTATAAGGACTGAATGAATGTGTGGCCAATGTTTTATCCTTATCACAGCAGTATGTCTCACATGGTAAACACTAGGTAATTTGCTATTATTTTGATTTGACTATCATACCCTCCTAAGTGCACAGTGAAAGAATCATTTCCAGTGTTGTTCTACCTGATTGAGAGAAGCCAATATGAAGACTCTAGTAAAATCAGTTGAGTAACAGTCCTCAGAGAATTCTGCTTTAAAAATCTTATTTCTATAAGGGTATGCAAAAGATACTTGAACACAGAGGATGTTGAAAATCTATTATGTTAAAATCTTGATTTGGGGTATCGATGTTGCCAGAGCAGCTTGGAACTTAACAATGTCCTGTAACTAGAGGCCTAAAAAAGAAGAGGGATGTTTAGAAGCTTCTCCAAAAGCAACAGGATAAAAGTGCTTTTGGCCTTGACCACATGATGAAGGCTTTTCACCAAAGGGGAAAACTTGGTCCAGTTGATCATCCCAGCCTAATTGATTAATTGTGGGTCTGACCATCTGGCTGATGAATGCTGACACCCAACAATGATTACTGTGTAACACAAATCCGGATGTGCTCTCCCCGATGCATCCCACAACAATGGCAACTCTAAACTTTATTCAGGCCTCTTGGCTCAATCTCTTCATGGAACAGTGGTTGTGGCAAGGAATATTTTACTAGACCTGGTCAAGCATTATCTTCTCTTATTTCAGTTACCCGCCCCTCCTTTCCAGCTCCACGCCTACCCTCTCCTGAGCCCTCTTTGTATATAATCACTTTTCATGCAAAGCATTCCATCTGTAGTTTTCATCATATTGTCTGATGCTCTCATTTCCGGTTGCTCTATTCAGAAAAATATTTGACTGGTCTAAAAGACCTGTATTGCTATTTCACAAGGATGCCTATTGAGACATTTTTATTATCTCTCCTTTGCTACTGGTTTACTTCAAATTATTCTGTATTATCAAATAAAGAAAATTATTTTACCTAACTCATGAGCCTGATTGAAAGTTTCATACACATATGGTCTGAGTGCTCCATGAGGTTAACAGAATACAAGGGTTGATAGAAGATAATTCTGACATCTTAAACCTATATCTCGGTTGTTAGTGTCCCATGGAGAGGATTCCCCCCCAAGTACTCTGGAGTACATTTCACTACCAGGGAAAGAAAGTCAAGGTCATGTAAATAACAGGGATCAATAGCAATGCCACCCACAAACCAATCTATGCTGGCAGCTAACCTCTATGTGGGAGAATTTAAGCAAATCGAATCTCACTGCATTTACATAAACCTTGAGAAATAACAATAAAAATATTCTACTGCTTTTTGTGGGAAGGTATTGGGGAGTAAACTGACAAAAAAAAATGTCTTGCACAAGCTTGGCCAATGAGTCACAACAAAGGAGGATCATCTATTTCTCCTGTTCTTTTTCTAGAGTGATTACCATCTCCAAATTCATCATTTTTCTAGCTCCCCATCTACGCTGAGTTCTTCTACATTCCAGGCTGAGTTAGTGTTAATTTTCAGTACAGGATGGCACTAGCATACTGAACTTCAGAGTTCCAGACTGGGAGTTGGGAAATGATTTTGGCCTGATTGTCAGTAAACAACTATGTGTCTAGGGCAAGTCAAGTCCCTTAACTCCCCATGTCTCAGTCTTTTCATTGAAAAATGATAGGGTAGGACTGCATGAACTCCACAGTTTCTGCCAACACTAAGATTCTATGGTTCTATAGCTCATTTCCTTTCTCTCTCTGGCTTCAACTGCTCAACAACTCTGCTTATAGTCACTTCTCTGCTCTCAGTTCCTGATAGAAAAATATCTCCTCATTTGATACCCAGTATTTGGTATCTGTAACTTCTCTTTCTTTTTTTGATGCTAGATATTTTGTGTCATAAATATGAACATATCCAGATAGATGCTTTAAATTTGAAGCCGTTTAAGGAGAATAGCTTTCCCATGTAGAACATTTAGTGCAGCTCGGCATGAAGGAAGCCAGCCATCCAAAAGTGGAGCAAAGGGGCCAATTCACAATTGAGAGGAAGCCTTTCATAATAAGAGTCTCAGACTCTTCAATTTAGATAAAGCTAAAAGCTACCAAATTCCTGCTACTTTCCTAATCAATCCCAGACACCATCACAGACACTTAGGACTACAAATTTGAGGGCCAGCATTGGCAGTGATGCAGTTCTTATTTCACCTCCACCATGTAATGCCAAGTAGGATTTAGGATGGCATAGTAATAAGAGCCAAGAGGACAATCTGTCATTTATTTTCCTCCAAACTTTTCGAAATTTCCCATTTGAGCTCTGTTTCTCAGTTTTAATTTGGTAACTGCCATTTTTCAGCATTTCTCTTTACAGGTTACTAATAATTTCTGATACAGGATCTCATATTTCATTTTGTGCTGCTAGAACTGCTGTTAATATTTCATCTGCCTTCAATTCAGCTCTGAATAAAGGCTGCTGGTTTTCTGATACACTGTTAACACTTTGGTTCTGGGGATTTGATCACCAGTGTCCACGCAGTTTGTCCTTATCTTGTTAGGTAAAAGTAATAGATTGGTGTCTCGGAAATATCTCAGGGTGGGCTATACATTCAGAATTTCTTGTCCTGGATTTTTGATGATAGCAACAAAACAATTATTCTGTGTTTGTTTTCCCAGGTTGCTTGCTATTTGCTTCAGTGGGAATATTCTGGGAGCAAAGTGCAATGGTTAAAAACCAGGGCTCACAGGCAGATCTAGGTTCAAATTCTATTTCTGGAACTTGCTACATGTATCATGTTAGGCCAGTTCCTTAACCTTTTGAGCCTCTGTTTTCCAATTTGTAAAACAGAAATAATAACAGCGTCCACCTCTATTGCTATAAGGATTCAATAAACCAATGTACAGTGCTGAAGACTTTCTGAGTTCTCAATAAACAATGGGTATCATAATTACCCTAGCATTAATAATCTATAAATTTGCATTAAAGTGTTACTATTTTGCAACATCCTTTCAAGACTCACAAATTACTTTTGAGTTAAGACTTTGGTTGTTTGCTTTACTATAGTTTACATTTTTAAACACTCTTGGTGAAATTAAGTAAAATATTTAAAAACTGGCTTTTAAAATCGTATGTATAGTACAAATAGTATATGGCATCATATTATTACTTCACCTTTCCATGTAGCAGCCAATTCTCAAAAGTTTTTGTTCATCTAACAGTTAGGCCTAGATAAGGCACATGGTACCAATGCTAATCCATTCCATAAAGAGATGGCTTATCATATTTACCTTCCCCTACTCCCAAAGAATATAGATTATTTTAATATTCTTTGGTTATATGATCAGTCAGAGTCCATCAGGAGAGAGAAACCACACAGCAATTTGAATAGGAAAAGTTAATATAAAGAATTATTAACTATAATAGGGGATTGGAGTAATGAGGGACTAGCTAGTAAGAAGGAAAGAGAATTGAAAATTACAGACGAATAAG